ACGCGAGCGAGTAGTCGCGGGCTTTAATCCCTTTCCGTGAGTTTTCGAACTCGTATAAGCCGGCCTCGAACTTTCCGACGTCGCTGCGCGGACCGCGGCGTGACTCACGAATTCTACCACGAATGCGACGCGGCCCGCCGGAAGTTTGTATGCAGCTTACGACGCGTCTGTATGCACCGCGGAAATAGACGAGCGGGCGCTGCCTGCAAGTTTATAAGCGTTTACTCGATTTTAATTCACGAGGCCGCCTGCCTGCCTGCCTGCCTCTCCTCCTCGGCGCATTCCGTTCTCTTCGCGTCGGAAGTTATTTTTTCGAGCGCGCGCTCCGCCTTCCCAGGGATTACAAAACACACGAAGCGCTGTGTCTTGCGAATAAAGATTTCGCGCAGACTCTCTCTCTCTCTCTCTCTCTCTCGCAGCCGCGGGGCTGTGAGAAGATCAATTTTTCAAAAAGGAAGGAAGCATCTCGCGCGCGCGCGCACTCGAGCGATCGTAAATCATCATGTCGAAGATCATCGTCTAGCTCGGCTCGATGATTGATAAACTCGATATCATCAATCTTCGCGATAGAGCCTAGCTCAACGCCGACCGTAAACACACTGTTATTAAAATCTCATTTTCGAAAGCGCACGAAAGGGATCGCATACGAGCCTCGAGTGTGCGAATTTTCCGCGGCGGACTCACTCTCTCTCTCTCTCTCTCTCTCTCTCTCTCTCTCTCTCTCTCTCTCTCTCTCTCTCTCTCTCTCTCTCTCTCTCTCTCTTTCTCCGTGTCTTTCCTTTTAATGCTCGGATAACACGCGACCTTTAACGCACCAACGCTGCTGACTGGAAAAGCCGTAAAAATGCGATCAAACGCGGCAAATTGCTCCCGCGAGGGGTGCGAGAGATCCAATCGCGCGGGGACCGCGCGACGGCAAGTTTCGCACGGACAAGCGTGATAATCCGACGAGAATCGCGGCGACCTTGCGTCAAGTGATAGCGGGGAAACGCTGGAAAATTCGAAACGGTAATCAAAAGTTGCCGGCGAGTTACGGTCTCGGCGGCAGCCCTTAAAGAGACTATCCAGGGGGCGCTTTGACAACTCCGAACTTTCGTTCTGTCGTTAACCGAGCGACTCTCTCTCTCTCTCTCTCTCTCTCCCTCTCTCTCTCTTCTCCTCCTTTTTGCAAGTTTCAGCGTCCTCGGTCCGCGTGCGAGGAGGGAACGAGTTATTCCTACTTGGAGATTTGCTCGCACTTTGCGGAAACTTCGGGAGACGAAACTTTCCGAATTCGCTCCCCTCGATCTGACAATGTCGTTAATGCGCGAGAGACTCTTCCCCTTTCGCAGCCCTTTTTCTCGTCTCCCCTCTGCCATCGATTCCCCGAGGGCGCTCATAAATCATTTTCTTTCGTCGCGAAATCCATCTACGCTCCGCGATTATCTTCCCGACGGTGTAGCGCGGCGGCGCAAGGTGGCAAGCAGACCACGGCATTACTTTCTTCGCGTGACCTTTGCCATGGCGGAATGCACGGCGAAGCGGCTTCGGCTAAGCCGCGAGACAAACGAGCGGCGCGTTCTACACGCGAAACTAAATCGAAGGCGACCTGGTGAGGCGAGGCGAGGTGAGGCGCGAAATGTCCGAGGATTACCGACTGTCGTGCTGTCTGCTTTGCGCCGTATATATATGTGTGTATGTGTGTGTGTGTGTGTGTGTATGTGTGCGTATACACCTCCGCGTGGCAGAATCGAAAGTCGACTTTTCTCCGAGTCTGCGAAGGCAGACTGTCGGGCGGACGCGCGCGCGATACGATCCCGGCGCGCTAAATATTCGATCGATGGAGCCCGGCGTTGAATTTCGCGCAAAGTTAACACCGCGCTCGGTTCTAACGCGGCAGAATGCAAATTGGTGGGAAAAAGAGGAGCAAACTAATTTCGCGCGGTACTGCTTGATTACATGCGTGTCGCTATATCGCCGCGTGGTTATGAAATTGCAGTTAATATTGATACACACGGCTGAGTTATTTCATTATATTAATAGAAGGGAAAACATGTGTGCACGCGCGCCGAAGAGAGAGAGAGAGAGAGAGAGAGGGAGAGAGAGAGAGAGTCGCTTCCCGGCAAGCTGAATCTTGCGGGATTGTCAGGCTGACACACATCAGCGGGACCTCCTATTGGAACTCTGACGGACGTGTGTCTGTATTTGCGCGCGTTCGAGCAAGCTGCAGCTCGGCCGGCGCTGAAAACGGAGCCGGCGGAATGAATCGATACAAATGTGACGTACGAGTGGCGTCGGTTATTTTCGCGCGGGATCATGACGGTGTATTTCGGTAGCACGGGAGTACGCCGACGACTCGTCGGACGTTCGGCGAAAGACGCGGCGACGTCGCTTGATTATATCCCCGGGACCGGGGAGTTAATAACGATTTCGTGTCAACGCGCACAGGGAACACGGTTTCCGCGCGGAATATGCAATTACGATCGCCGTTATTCTCGTCGCGCGCGCGCGCGTTCGTGGCCGCCGCGCCGGCGGATCCCCCCGCCTCCCCCCCTCGCCCCACCCGGCCGTCGAGTCGCGGCGATAAATCGCGAGATTTATGTCGACAAATTTGACAACATAAGCCGTGCAATAGAACTCGCTGATCCCGAGAACAATGCCGAATCGGCATCTGATTTGCATTTATGAAAAGGGCAAAATACTCGCGCTGTCCGTATTAATTAACTCTCGGCGAGCGCGCGCGCGTTATTTACAGAGAATAATAAATCGCGCTCGCACAATGACGACAGCGCAACCCGCGACGGGATACGCGTTCTCTCGCAGAGGGAGGAGAACCCGTCTCGGAGCGACGTGAGAAGCGGGCGAGCATTCGCGAGAGCAGCAGCAAGGGATTCCGGGATTAGCGACGCGACCTGATCCAGTTCTATCGTCGTCTAGTTCGATGATCGCGTTATCCGGAATCCGGAGGCGCGCGCGTCTCCGCGAGGAGAAATTCACGGCGCAAGCACGCAAGCACGACAGCTATGCCCTCGATTGCCGGCTCGACGGAAAATCGAGCAAAGCGGAGCGGAGCGGAGCGAGCGAGCGAGCGAGCGAGCGAAGGAAGACGGAGACAAACAGCTGGGAAGAGAGGGGGGAGGGGGGGAGGGAGAAGGGGAGAAAGCAAGAGGTAAGAGAAGCTGAGAGAAGGGAAAGGCGAAGGTGGGGCATTCGCGCGCGCACGAGACGGACGGACGGACGGAAGTCGGCCGCTAAGGTAGCAACGGACTCTATTCCGGGCTTCCCGATTCCTGAAAGCTCGAGGGTGCTGCAAGCTCGACTCTATTGATTTCTCGCGCGTTAAAGGGAAACGCTCAGCGTGCGAGCGGGCACGTCGCCCTACACACCCGGAAGATCCGGAGACGCGACACCCCTCCCGCCCCCCTGACGCCCGCCGCCGCACGCGTTCTCTCGCGATAATATGTATCTAATTCAATCACTCGAGCGGCGGAGCGGTCGATTTGATCGCGATCGAGCAGCTCGGCGCTTGCGTCGGGTGTCTCGGGCGTTGCGAGCCGGTCGAGTTAATTATTAATTAACGCGCGATGAGTCGGCCGACGTGTTTGACTGCTTCAGGCGGCTGGGAGGCCGCCCGGGGAGAGGAGGGGGACGTCCATTATCGAAATGACGCGGTGCCGCCGAGGATGACAATAGCGTGGAATCGCCGCGCAGTTTCGATCCGCTCCGCGAGTATAATTTCGCGCGGCGATCTCGGAACGTTGACCGGAATTATCTCGGGTGTGAGAAAGCGCTCGGCGGGATGTCCCGCCTCGTTTTCCCGCGAAAAATCACGACTCGCAGATACAATCCCGGGACACGCGATCTCGAAATGCGCGAGCAATATCGAAGCGAGAGAGAGAGAGAGAGAGAGAGAGAGAGAGAGAGAGAGAGAGAGAGAGCGAGCGTTGACGCGATTGTCATCCCCACTCGCATGATATGTTTCACGTCGACGTAATGCCATCGAGTTTCGTTAAAGATATCCGCGCAATCGATAATCGATGTCCCATTTTCCGTACGTCCGCTTATCTGTGAGCTCCGGCGACATATATATAATAACCGCTGATAACAGCCCCGAGACGACGACGACGACGACGAAGGCGACATGGAAGACGCATCACCTCTCTCGACGACGCCGCTAAATTATGAAACGTCCGGCAATTCGGTCAAAATGTCACGGGTGAGAGTGCAGCGTGCCGACGATCGAAGTCGCGGCGGACCTTTCGAAAGTGTCGATCGAAGCCTTCGAGAGAGTGCGCGACGAGAGCGCCCGGCCGAAGCAGCGTGCCCGATCGATCAGCCTCGTCCCGGCCGCATTTTGTTGCGAGGGAAGCGAGCAAGCACGCGGTTGCGAGAACGCGCGGCTGCCTCTTGAAACGGCTCGCGATTTTCATCGCGATCACTCTGCCACGCGCGGCGATCGCGCGTTATCACGCGGTGAGGAGGAGGTTCGACCTCGACGCGAGATTATCGCGCCTCGATGCGCGCGATTCGATCGCGATATCGCCGATCTTAGCGGCGTTCGCCGATTCGGCGCTTTCTCGTCGGAGCGAATCGATAACGACGCGAGCTGCGGGGAATTAATTTCGGAAAGAAGAATAAAAGGGGGAGAGAGAGAGAGAGAGAGAGAGAGAGAGAGAGAGAGAGAGAGGGGGGGGGGGGAAGCAAAAGGACAATGGTGTTTGCACACAAGCTTGACGGTTTGAGCGGAAAGCCAAAATTCGACGTAGCCGCGGTGCGTTTTCCAGCGGGCAGGGACGTTGTTTGAACAATTGGATATAACGCGGAAAGTGGGTTGTCCGGATAACGATTAATTAAATTTATTTACGCGCGCGACTGAATCACGCATGCACATCTGCATATCGCGGCGCGTAGCGCATTATGCGGAATGCAAAGAGCGCGTCGATACGCCTCGTATTTACGATATTTGTTATCGTAAACTATGCAGGCCGTTTAATAATAGAACGAAATTGGATTTCACTCACCACAACCAGCGCGTGCGTCAGAGCAGTCGATGACCTCGACCTCCTCGGTGTCATGCCGACGACCTCGCCCCTCATGATGCTCTCGACGACTGCGTGAGCGAGAAAAAAAGCGAAAACGCTGTCAACACGTTTCGAAATTGTTCGGTGCGCGTGTTGAGAGAACGATCGAGTGCGCGTCGATATTTTTCGGGGGGAGAGCGCGCGATGATTACATTGATGTTAAATTTCAAACTCCGCACCGCCGAATCGCTCTTGATTAATGTCTTGATACATATACGAGGGCCTTTAAACCGCGGGAATTTAATATCGCGGGATGTGGATCAGTCGAGCGAGCGCTTTTTCTATCGCTTTTCGGAATTCTCTACTTTCAATCCGGCCATATTGAATTGAATTGAACCGATGAAAGAGCCGGCTTATTAAATTATACATTACACGTACCAACGAATGATTCCCGAAGTAAATAAATCAATAGCGTGCAAGCTGTGTACAACAGCGCCGTCGGCTTACCTCCATCGCCGATAAGCCGCATTTGTACTAAGGTGGGATCCTCGTTGTGATCTTCGAGGACGGTGTCGTCGGTGACAGTCAAGTCCTGGAAGCACATCAAAGGCAAGAAAGTGTCATTAAGTAATTCCTACGAGTCGCCGGCGAGTCTATCTAGCGATCTATCAATCGGCCTCTCGCTCCCGTTAAAAACCGAAGCAAGCCCCCCCGCCCTCCCCCCGGCGGGGACGAGCACTTCGAGATCCGCGATTACCCGCCTGCATACTCTTTTCCCTTTCTCTCCCGTTTTCCCGTCGGTATCCTTCGACGTCTCTCAGACTCATGCGATTGTACTCGCGCCGCACCGCCTCTGCATTCGCAATCGACTTCGATTCTTCCGAGAAATTTCACGATTACCCAAAGCGCGAACGGAGCCTCGCACGTCCGCCAATTTGCGGGTCAGAGATCGATCTCGATCGACGACGGTCTGGCCGCTCGTTAAGACCCGTCACGATCGACGCCTCCCCTTGTCAATGCGCTTAACTGATCGGCGGCGAGACAGAGTCGTCTGGCTGTTGCGAAATACACGCTCGCTCGCGCGACGACGCGGTCCATTTTGTGCGCGCGACGTCGATTTCCGGCGAAAATTGCTTTCGCTCGCCGGAAAAAGGACGTCTCTTCATTTGCCCCCCCCCCCCCCCCCCCACCGCGCTTCTTCTCCTCTCTCGCATTTTTGTCCTCGACCACGCGACGACGCCGAGGAGAAGGAACGCCCCCTCCCCCCCGCCCCCCGATGTCGTGGGCGACGCGGGCGTTTTCGTTTGATACACGCCCGACGAAATGGAACCGCGCGATCTCGCACTCGTACTACTAATTCATCAATGCTCCGCCTAATGGATGATAATGCGCGTTTTTGTCTCTCGTACATTTTCGCGGCTCCTCGTCGTCTCTTCTGCGGAGTATTTCATTAGAGCCTTTGTTCGCAACCAGACGGACGCTACGACGACAGCGAGGAGTATTCGAGTAAACTTCAAGCGATTCGATTTCCTCGGCACTCCCGAGGAATATTCGCGACGAGCGCACACACTGGGGATAAAAAATTGAAAAACAGAGAGAGAGAGAGAGAGAGAGAGAGAGAGAGAGAGAGAGAGAGACAGGAAGGAAGCGAGCGCTCGCGACAAAAGCTTGCCGCGACGACCCAGCGATATTTTATGTTCCTGCGCCCTTCGATCCCTACACCTTTCCCGGAACGTTTCCTCGTCGCCGACTATTCCAAGGATTTAGTTTTCCAATAGGAGTGCCGCGTCGCAGTGCCAGGATAAATTATCGGGAGCTTTCGCCGAGCGAGGCGAGACGAGCGGGAGGATTACCGTCGCGGCGCGGCGCAGCGCGGCGACGCGAGGTCTGTCGCTCGTTCGCCCGTCTTAAGATGTTTAACGGCAAAAACGGCGGGCGAATGTCGCGAGGGAGGCGGAATGGCAAGGCATTGGCTCGGCCGTTATGTCTCTCTTGGGCGCGTCGCGACGCGAATCAGCGCGGCTTCGCACATCCGGCCGCCGCGCCCGGTGTGTTCCGCCTCGCGGCGGAAAAATGCGTCGCTCTCGACGTCGAGGAAGATCCGCCGCCGCCGTCGCCGGGGGAGATTTCGCGCTACGCTTGACTCAAGTCCCCAGCAGCCGCAGACGCGGCAGACGATAAACGATTACTTGACATTCGATAAGCGCGAGATCTAATTGCGGCGTTGCCGACTAAAATTGGAACTCTTTCTTTCTCAGGTCTGTCCCGCCGCCCGCACCGCCAACCCTCCCCCCCGGTGCCGCTGCTAATGGATTGATCCGTGAATTAATGAAGCTCGCTTTAAGCGCCGCACAAGTATAGAACACAATATCGAATAAAATTTAATCTCTCCCTCTCTTTTACACTTCGCCTCTGTCGGGGCATCGATTCGCCGACGGGGACGAAGCCGTTAAAAATAGAGACGCGCGCTCGGCGCGTTTCGTTCGGAGCGCGGATATCGCCGAGTATCGCTCTCGCGCCGGAGATTTCAGGAGCCGAATGAATTTCAGACCGGACACGAGCGATCGGATGGATAGTGCCCGCCCCTCCCCCGCCGGACCTTGATCGCGCGATATTTATTGTCGTCCAGCCGGTCTTACCTTGGTGGACTCGTTGTAACCGACGATCACGGCTGTGTACCATTGCGTGGTGCCTTCCGCCCGATAAACTTCGACCCTGAAACCGACCAGGACGCTGGGCGTAGTCAGCAGGATTCTCTGGCCGTCCTGCATCTCGGCCCATCTCCTCACGGCGTTTCCCCAGGGCATCGCGCCCTTAGTCAGCTCCCAGTCCTGCTGCAAAGACGAGCAAAAAGGTCGGAGGTGAAGCTTCGTCCGTGGAACTTGATTAAGAAGGCCGGACTTACTCCGGTCCTCCTCCCCCCCGGTCTTGCCCCCGGAGGAAAACTGTGTCTGGGTGCGATTTCGAAGGGGGAAGGGGAGGGAGGGGGAGGGCGCGAAAGAAATTCGCGCAATTTGATCGCGGGGGTAACAAAGGGGGTGACAAAAGCGAGCTCGGCGCGGCCGAGAGAGCGCGAGATTTTTGTTCGTCGATTCGCTCGCTCTACACGGAGCTGCTAATTCCGTCGTTTCTGAGTCTAATGGAAGCTCGAGCCGAGATCGAGTCCTCCGCTCATCCGGATCCTCAAGGCGTCCCGAATAAATTCGCCGCGGAGCCGGAGTTGCCGTGGAACGCACGCGGGCGAGATATCGCTCAGCCCGCCGCGGCTCGGTTCAATTCGCATAACTGGGTCGGCGAGCATCGATCTTCCCGCTAAATCGCCTCGACTTATTTCCGCCCGTGTTCCGCCTCAGGCCACCACCACCTCCCGTGGAAGTGCAGGGACGCGCGGCGGCTTCGCCGACGAGCCGTTTGCGATTCCGTCGGCGTTGCTTCGCCGCGTCTCATAACGGACGATAATAACGTCAGAGCGACGGCCCGTTAAGCGGATATCTCGGGACATCGTTAAATCGGCATACGGTGTGACGTGCGAAAATGGTCAAAGTCGGTCTGGTCAATTCACGGACGTACCGGCGCGCCGCGCCGCGCCGCGCCGCGGCCGGGCCCGGCGCTTTCGTCATCGGCGACGACGTATCACGTTGTTAACGCGTTGTTACACGCTAAACAAAAAGAGACCGAGGAGAAATCGAGCTGAAATTACACGGACGGGCAAAGGGGGATCGCTCAGCGGACGAAAAGAAGAAGAACGTACAGTCCCTCTCCGTCTTGGGAATCCCGCACTCCATCTCGTGTGCTCCATCCCGTTCGAGATACTCCGTTTTTAACTGACGCGCGTTAACGCGATACTATAACGTGTCGCGGGAGAATACACTGTGAAACTAGGCGTCGGATCATGTGCGTTAAAATTGAGCGTTAGTGTGTTATTTTTGACACATTAAGGCTGGCACGTCAAGGCACCAAGTGCGTCAAAATAATTGGTTCTCTGTGACAAAAGTGTGTGTTTTAATAACACAGCCATGTGTTACACACTACAGAAACGTGTTACTTTTCCTCGACAATCCCGTGACACACGTAAGAGCGTGTTCCTTAGACACAGAATGATAATCGAAATACACTGAGAACACACTTGGATGATATGATATATTGGATAACACACCAAGTCACGTGGCACATTAGTAATGTGTTCATGATAACACACTAATTTCGTTTAAATGAACACACATATTAGCGTATTAAAAAAAATACATGTGGGAACAACACGAATCGACAAAATCGGCGATTACTCGCCTTCAAAAAAAGTATTGTCTGTCTATTGAACAAATTGATGCGATAATAACTTGCTTTCATATTACTGCAGACTAAATCATCATTAATTGTATGTTATTCATTGTTATACGTTTAAACGTAATATGTTAAATAACGCGTGACTTGAAACGGAAGAAATGTGTAAAAAAAGATTCATTCATTTACACGATTGTGCGCATTTCAAAATAACACACTTGGAGTTGCAATGTTGCTCAATTCACCTTCACAACACACTTGAGGTGTGTAATTTTGATATAACAATATTTCATAACATACCGAAAGTGTGTTATTTTAACACACCTAACCATTAACACACATACAAACGATTATATTTAACACATACATAAATATGTTCTTCTAACATTCATATATGTGTTAATTTAATTTGCTGATTTTGTATGTCTAAAATGGAGACATACTTTAACACGCTTTAACGAGCATATTATTGTAACACACTTTAGTTTACAGTGTAACGGCTGACTGTACTCCGGTTAAAGACTTCAAGTATAAAATCCGTCCAGCCGAGGCTCAGATAAGCGCGTCATCGCGTTCGCTTCTTCGATCCGATATTGGAATGTATTATTCTCTCTCTCTCTCGAGAGAGAGAGAGAAAGAGAGGGGGAGGGGAGAGGACAGCAATTGCCGATCGAGCAATTGCAGCCGGCACGAAATCGCATCGACATATTTTATTTACACTTGCTTTATTGTGTACGCGCATATCGGGCCTGCGACGAGCGCGATGAAGACGTCGCCGAGAGCGCGGCATTGAAAAAAGCGTCAACCGTCTCCGCAAGACATTGGTGAAACGCGACTAATTAAAACGGCCGACCAGACGAGCCGTTCACATCATTTGCGCCGACAGCATACATTTTGTATCAGCGATAACGACGAGTCTCGCCTTTTTTCCTCGCTCGAGCGAGCACATTGCCCACGCGCTCGCTCGCTCGCTCGCTCGCTCGCTCGCGTTACGTCACCGCTACGTTACGTTACGTGAGACACGCGTTACGCAATCGTTGCGCACAGCGTGACGGCTCGAGGCGCGTTAATGGCAGTAATACAACGGCAATTAGAACGTTATTACCGAAGCGTCGAGAGCACTTAATGTCCGCACGATTCGCTCGTGAGCGCGACTCACGGCGCGTCCCCTCTTCCCTCCCCCCCCCTCTCTCTCTCTCTCTCTCGTGCGGGATTCCCAAGACGGAGAGGGACTGTACGTTCTTCTTCTTTTCGTCCGCTGAGCGGGGTCCCCCTTTGCCCGTCCGTGTAATTTCAGCTCGATTTCGCCTCGGCGGGATTTTAATTCACGACTCGATTATCGAGACGCAGGTCGCCGGAGAATCCGCTCGGGATTATGTAGAGATCGACCGGTTATTGCCGGCGTTTCACCGCGATATCTGGGATGTTGACAATTTAGTCGTTGCTCAGTCTGTATTATGCTCAAGTCGAATTTATACGTGCATGTATCGACTCGAATGCGAGGTTGGATCGGCAATCAGTCATCTTTGCAATGCAGTCGATGTCAACAAAGGTATCCACTTTTCGCGAAGTCCGAAAAATCATCGTCGACATCGATTCGATCGGCGACTTGCAAGCCTCGGTCGCGGAAGAGAACGAGAAAGAGAGAGAGAGAGAGAGAGAGAGGGAGAGAGAGAGTCCTCTCCGGTCCGCGGAAAAGTGTGTAGATGCGAATGGCCGCGACCTCGCCGATAGGCGGCATTACGACTCGACCAGATTTAATGGCGCAAGTTTAACTTTTCCTTCGGCCACTATTATCTTACGCTCTCGCTACGGTCTATATATTTTCCCAACTTCTCTCTTTTTCCTCCCTCCTCTCTCTCTTTCTCTCTCCCTCTGTCTCTGCGGTTATTCCTGGAGCACCCCATTACACCTGAATGAATCCAACGAGACGAACGTGCTCGGCAAGTCGAAAGGCGAAGGAAGTGCGATCGAAGGGAGAATTTCGTAATTACGCAAATAATAATTACCTTCCGAGACCGAGAGCATTATTAACTCCGAGGCTAATATCGCGAGAGCTCTCAGACTAAGTTTCGCCCCGACACTCGGCATGTTCTAATTCGAACCACACACACATACACGTCGATTTTATATGTCACGCGCGCATCTCTTCTTCCACGAGATTAATCGTCGACGAGCGAAGTGTCTTTTTCTGCTCGCATCGATTCTACCGTGTCTTAATACCGAGAGATCGCGAGATGGTATCGGAACAGACGGCTTTCTTTTATATCCCGCCTCCGCGAGAAATTATCGGCTGCTTCCGCTCCCTCTCCCTCCCTCCCTCCCACTGAAAATGTCGCCGTCTTTCTCGTCGCGCGCGGCAGAAAACAAGACGCGTGTGAAACATTGACGGAAATAATATCGATTAAAGAGCGCTTTCGTCGAGCGACAATCATACATTCGCAAATGTCACGGCGCGCCGCGCCGCGAGCGGGATGTCATTCGGATAAGAGAGCTCTCGCGAATGTGTGTCGCGCAACGGGTCCACGTAAATGTGCACAGCGCTCTCCGTCTTTAAATTATCATCTAAATTATCTCGTCGCGCGCGCGCGCGCGCGACGCGTCTGGCTGTCTCGCAGCTGTGCGCGCAAGTATGTGCGCGTGTCTGCGTCTCTCTCTCTCTCTCTCTCTCTCTTTGTATGCGCAAATAACTTCATCTCCTCTCTCTCCCTCTGCCCCCTCTCCTCCCTATCTCGCGCGATTCCGTCGTTCATCATAAACGAAAGTGCTGCACAAATAGTAAGTAACCGACCGACGTGCTTGGTATAATTCGCAGCTATTGCAAAGTCATCGCGCGTTCGCGCACACGCAAAAATAATGGACACGCAAACGTAATCGACATTTTGCGCAACGACACACGGCGCCCGATGCGGCGGAGATGCGGCCCTCACGCAGCTACGATGTTCCCCAGCGGTCGATCGTTCATGTCAAAGTTATCGGTCATGTCGATGGCCGAATCTAGCAGCGGCTCGATCCCGTGTCTGGAAGCACACCAATTATAACGCGAAACCGAGCGGCGGCGAGGCGGTCGGGTCGAGAGGACAGAGGGGGGGGGGGGGGGCGGCTGCTGCCGGGGTCGATGAGATTATCCGACATCGCTGAATTATTCGTACGCGCGATAATTCGATTCGGGACCGCTCGTTCCTTATTTATGTGGATTATACGAGGCCGCGTCGCGGCCAAGCGGGCGGCGCGGCTGTTTCCGAGGGGGTTTCTCTTTCAACGAGCGTCCCTCCCTAAATCCCGTCCCGATCCCCGATATTTCCCCGCGATTTTAATCTCACGGACCGCGATGGAATTTCCAGCCGCGGTATCTATCTCATCCGCGGATCGACCTGGCTCGTCGATCCTCCGTCGCTCGTCGATCTGTCCTCGCCGCTCGCGGCGACTTCGATTACAATTCGCGCGTGACTGCTCGGTTATTCTTGCGCGCAAACGTCGGAATCCGTCCGTCGCGGCATGTATCCGCGAGCCGTCGTTTCAATAGAATTAAGGTTACCGGGGATTATAACGT